TGAGAATGAGCCGTTGTAGGGGCCTACGAACATGGAGCTTGGAGGTAGGGTTTCTTCCAAAATCGTTGTGACTCTTGGGTACATACTGGTCCTGAAAATTTTGCCCTTGTCGCACCGAGACGTCAGTTTGTAGGGCGGGCCTGGCGTTTCGCCTGAGACGTCCTCACCACTTACGGCCCTGAAGCCAAAACGTTGACAACAGTTTCACAAATGAAGGGCGGGTCGTTTTCAAAATGTGGCTCTCGCCTGAGCGCCGCGCAAATTCGTTTCAAACATTTGCCAACGTTTCGCTGATTGTGGGCGGCCCGTTTTCAAAATGTGGCTCTCGCCTTGGCGCCGTGCACATTCGGTAAAGAATCTACACAAGCTTCACGGATTAAGGGCGGTTGCCTTTCAAAGTGTGGCTCTAGCCTTAGCGGGGCGCATATGTTTTTGGTTATTTGAAAAAGTTCAGAGTTTCGCGATTTCCCATGGTCAAATTGTGTACAGAAAAGTTCAGAAGTAGGAGGGTACAACAGTTTCGTTTCCTCGCGGTGCTGAAGTCACAGGAATGGCGCGACCCCGCACGATTCAATCTCGTCAAGACGCAACAGTCAGTTTGATCCGTGGCGTTGGGGTTCCCGTGAATAATGTTTTTTCATGCTTCAGGGTCTTCAAACGGTTGTCTTCCAACGGTGCAGTTCCCTTAGTGGAAATGAACCGTTGTATGGGGCCAACGAGAAGGAGTCTGGAGGGAGGATGTATTCCAACATCGTTGATGGCTCTTGGGTTTACACTGGTCCTTCTCCTCCTCCTCATCCTCCACCTCTTCCACCTCGTCATCCTCTTCATCGTCCCGCTCGTCCCTCGCGTCCTCCACCTCCGCCTACTCCTCCCCGTCTTCCCCCCCCCAGCTTTGCTTTCTCCCTTTCCTCCTCGTCCCCCTACCCGCCGCGAAGCTAGCGCAACGACCGAACGAACTGCATGGACCCTCTCTCGTTTTTTTGGGAAAACCGACATGTCAGGGTCGAGGAGTTTCAGTGTGCTGCGTCCCGCGCGCTGGAGTCTGGGCCAGCGCCCAGGGAGGGGTGGAAGAGCCTGCGCGGGTCCCTGCCGCCTGCAGGCCCAGCCTGTCTCATAGGCCCGTCTCGATGGCAGTGCAAACGCTGTTTCTGGTCCATCCCCCACAACGCCTTCGATCAGGAAGGCGTCGACCCGAGGAGGCGCCGCCGAGTTTCCAAAGTATGCCCGGATTCACCTCATGGTGCCGAATTGTGTGAGCACCCCCCCCTTGCCCTGAGGCGGAGGTGGGCGATAATCCGCTGTTACGCAATTGCCATTATGACAAGTCGAAGTCTCTGGGTTCAAGTGACCGCGCACCGACAAAATGTTGCACCAGTTATGCTGGACCGTGACATGTATACTTCAATATGCATCGCCCCTTTCCCCTAATTTGAATATGGGAGGGATGGCGCAAAGCCTTTGGATCCCCGTCGCCGGGCTGCTAGAGAACATGTTGCATCACCGATATATTTCGACAAGCCGGGGCCGAACCAAACATTAAGATCGGGAGAGGGGGGAGTATGACATGATTATCGATCGCGAAATGGTCCATCTGTCTAGAAGGCACCCGGTGGTGCAACACGTTGCGCATGTGCCACATGCCACAACATTTTAACAGCAACGCGTCGCTGTGCAATGGGCCCGCCTGGCCACGAGAGCGGGCCCCCCGCCGCGCTCCTGCCGAGCGGGCGCCGTCGCCTACGTCCGAGAGTCCCCAATCCCCCACGCCTCCCACTCCTGCAGAGTGATCGACGCAGCGGTCCGGACTGGTGGGTCATTGCCACGTGCCTTCGGCGCACGGCCGGCACGCAGATTGAACCTGTACCAATCATTCGGCACATGACCTGGGCACGGGCGCTGCAGGCCCGCGAGCTTCGCTTTGGCGTGTCGGTCACAGCGCGCACACCAGACCCAGGGGCCCGTGCGCCAGAGGCGATGGCCAAGCGCCGTGACGACCCGCGGCTCTAACAGGCAACCGGGCTGCGGCGTGCCCCTTCACACCGCTCGTCGGTGAGGGCCGTGCGACTTGCGCCGCGCTTGCCGCAACGCTGCCATGCCCAGCCCCCCTCGGCCCTCCTCGAAGGCTCGTGGCGGCGACCCTCCTCCGAGACCTGCGAGCCTCGCGGCGGCGGCGGCGGCTGTCTGTCTGGCAACTCTTCCTGAGTGTTGAACACGCGCTCTTCGAGCTCGGCATGGATGTTCAAGGCGAAGCGGACCTGGGCGGCCGTCTCCTTGCAGGCCTGCTGGATGTAGACAAGCGACTCGTTGCCTCCGCTGGCTGCGCCTTCGCGGGCCCAAGCGTCAGCCCCGCGATTGGCCATGGCAACCAGGCGCTCCGCAGCTGACGCGCCCTGCGTCAATTTGAACGTGGAAACAGGCTGGCAAGGAAGCGTTTCGGGGCAGAGCAAACCTTGCTTGGCTTTCGACAGTAAGCACCCGAATTGCGCTCAGGATGGGCGTTTCGTCGCTTACTTGCCACTTGTGCCATAAGTTTGCAGGGCTCGCCTAGCCCCCGAGGCCCCTGCTGAGGGCGGACCCTCGAACTTGCATTTGCGCAGCAGCCGAGAGCCAGCCGAGGTGGATAAACACAATTGAGTTTACTTTGAACGGTCTCCACCGGAACCTTCGGCGCTTGTCCCCCACGGAGCGCACGTCTGCTGGAGCAGTGCGTGCAAAGCTGGAGCAGAGGAAACAGACGGGGCAAACGGTGGCGGACAGCATGGTTGCATAGGGTTTTCGGCTTTGCTATATGGCACGATGCAGTACACGTGTAACAAGGCGTGTGATGCTCCATTCTCATATTTTACCAGTTGCAGTCTGTATGGCCTTAGCACCTGCGATTGCATCATCCACTAAAGTGTGGTATATGTGCGAACTGTATAGTTCGTTGTGTCTGGGTATACCCGGAATCATGTTATGATGCAGTATGTATGCTGCACTACCACTTGGAATCGCATCATACCCTGTGGTTTTATGCCATGCTATGTTTACGATTGCTCTGCACTGTCCTACTAAACGTGCGATTTGTGGTCCCGTGCGCCATTCTTTCCCTCTGATTGGGGCAATAACATCTATATTCATTGCCGCCGTCGCCGCCGCTGCCGGCAGGGGCGCGTTCTCCGACGGCCAGATGGCGAAGCCGTTGGGGCAACCTCGCAGGCCAGGCCGTTGGGATAAACCGATAAGCCCGCGAGCCGCTGGGGGCGGGAGCTCGCCTTTGGGACAACCCTGCCGGCCTCGAGGTACTCGCGGCCGCGCACAGGCGGGAAGCAGCGCGAAGCCCAGCCCTGGCACGAGCTGCTTGCCCTCAGCCTTGGAGCTCACCGGTCTCTTGTCGACCTTCCTGCGCGCCTCCCGCAAGGACGCGGGCGGCCCGCGCTCCAGGAATTCTCGCGCGGCTGGCGGGAGGATCAGCATGCTCCGCATAAACGTGGCGGAAGGACCTCCTCCATACTTAAACTCGCAGGGGCCAAACATGATAACAATTACACGTATCCGATGGCCCGCTCGGGTTCATAAGATGAGCTGCGCCCCACAGGGGGTGGGGGGGGCGCTCGAGACTTCCTCGTTCCTTTGGGTGCTCAAATGCTGTGCCTGCTATGGTAAACCGATGACCCGCCTCGGATCCGAACATGACGTGCGGGACCCTCGGGGGGGGTTCCGCTCGAGACTCCCCCACAGTTCACTCACAGACGAGGGTCATCGGGGTGCTCAAGTGCTACGCCTGCTTTTGTAGGCCGATGGCCCGCCTCGGGTTCGAACGTGGAATGCGGGGCCTCTAGTTCCCGTTCGAGACTTACCCAATTTACTCACAGACGACGCTCCTTGAAGCGCACAGGTTCTGAGCCTGCTATGGTAGGCCGATGCCCAGCCTCGGATTCGAACATGTCGTGCGGGGCCCTTGGGGAGGGTGCTCCCGCTCGGGACCTCCTCGCAATTCAGTCACAAACGAAGCCTTTTTTTTGTTCGGGTGCACAAATACTGCGCCTGCTGTGGTAGGTCGATGACCAGCCGCGGATTCGAACTTGACGTGCGGGGCCCACTAGGGAGCGGGATCCCGCTGGAGACTTCCTCACAGTTCATGTCGGCAAATGGCCGACGAACATGATGGCATGGTGACGGTGATGATGAAGACGATGGTGGTGTTGATCGTGATTAGAATGAGTGAGCGATCAGGGATAATGACGGGTGGGTGAATGCGTGAGAGAAGGTGGTGGTGATGATGAGTGGGTGACAGAGTGAGTGAGTGAGAGAGTGAGTGGTGATGATGAGGATGATCAGTCAGTGGAGCCGCGCCGCACGGCGCATCGGCTAAACAGCACGGGATTGAATTCAACAGTTTTGATAGATAAACTTTCAGAAGACGTATGGCATGGCATGGATGGCGTGGCGGTCTGCGCGCCAACTCTGGCAAGGGGAGCGGTCCCCTAGAGGGCAGACCGTGCGTTGAGCAAGTCGGAGAATTAATGAATCAGCACGCACACGTGGGGTAATGCGGTTAATAAATCCTCTGGTGTGCAAGTCTTCAGTCAAAGAGACCCTGCCGGCTAAAAGGGGCAGGAGGAGGAGGAGGAGGAGGAGGAGGAGGAGGAGGAGGAGGAGGAGGAGGAGGAGGAGGAGGGGAGGAGGAGAGAGGAGGAGAAGGATGAGTGCGGATGAGTGCGGGCCAAAACGGATCACGACCGCCTACGCTTTCGTGCCGTGGGAGCCTCGGGCCGCTTCGGGCCGTCCCCGAGCCAGACCCTCGACTCCAGGAGCCCCTATAGGGGCTGGTTGGTGGAGGGGTGTAGCCCGCTCCACAACAGCTTCAGCCTACCCCCGATCACCCTTTGGGCCCCAGGGCGACATGGAGAGAATAGGCCCGTCCACCTGTCACGGGCGTACCTGGCACACCTGCGGCGAAAGACGTACGTGCTGCGGGTCACTATTTGGTGCCCCGCTCTCTGGGCTCTGTCGACCCTGGTGCACCCCCAGTCCAGAGCGGCCCGGGACGGGAGGTCGGCCTCCAGGGGCGGGGCAGGGAGCTCAGGGGCCACCAGGGCCCCGCCCTCCTCGCCCACGACCGCCCCCAGGTTCCCAGGAGGGTCCAGGGGGTCCAAGGGGGGGTCGGGGGGGTTCGAGTCCGTGGGGCTCGAGCCCTGCTCAGTGTCGACAATGTCACGGCCCAGGACTCCTATGTAGGCTCCGAATTCCAAGATGTCCCGAACCAGTCGATACTTCTGAATGTAGGCCTCTCTACACCAGACAGGGTGGGTATGACATAGCGCTCCCTGCTTGGCATACTGATCAGCTATTTTGTTGCCCTCCCACTGCGCGCGCCCGATAGCTGCTCGCGCGTCGCGTGGGCTCTCACCTTCAGCACCTGCACGGTGCTCGGGCCCAGGCCTCCGAGCTCTGCGATGGCCTGGGAGATGCACTCCCAGAGGTCGAGGTGCGGGCGGCTCCTCTTGTCGAGCCACGCTGGTCCTGCCATCACGCCGTCGACGACGTTCTGGCAGTCGGTGAAGATGCGCATGGGCGGGGTGCCCACACGCAGCGCCTGCAGCAGCGCGTAGAGCTCCGTCCGCAGGATGCTCTGGACCCACTGTGCGCCAGGGAGGGGCCCGTAGCACACGTAGTCCATGTCGTACTCGTCGTTGTCCTTGAGCTTGGTGAAGCTCCATCCTCCTCGTCGCAGTGGTGCGTAGTCGCAGAACTGCAACGAGCCGTCCACGTAGATGTCCCCTGTCGCGAAGCCGTCCCAGTTGCCCTCGGTGAGCCAGTCGTCGGACGAGGCTATCTCCCAGAGCCTAAGCTCGTCGGCGGGGTCGGCCGTGATGCCGCGTCCCCAGAGAGCATCGGCTCCTGGGCCTGGCCAGGGGTTGGCTCCTCGCTGCTGAATATGGTGGCCTCCGACAACGTCGCGGTGTGGCCGGCGCACTGGGCACGCGAAGGTGCGGTGCCTGTCAGTGCCTGGTGCCAGCCCGCACGCTCTGCATGTGTTGTCGGTGGCAACTCCTGATGCGTGCAGCCGCGCCTGCGGCCGCGTCCCTCACTCGCGCGCGGTGGGCCTGCGTCCATCGGCCCTGGAGGGGCCGCCGTAGTAGTGCCTGCACTGGGGCCAGGAAGATGGAGGTGATGCCGTACTGGCGGCCGTGCTGGCTCACCCACTCGTCCTGCAGCTGCTTCTCCGTGGTGCGCACGACGTGGTGCTGGATCTCCTGCAGCAAGGTGTAGCGGAGGTCGAGCACGTTCCCGTCAATGGTCACTGTGTGCGAGGCCTGCGTCATCCAGCCGAGGCGCCTGGCCGTCGCCACGAACGCCCCCGCTGGCCCCCGAACTGTGAGCCAGGGGGTCTTGCACTTGTATATCTTCATCACCCAGGTGCGCCACGCGCTCAGGAGCCGCGCGGCCAACTGGTCGTCGTCGAGCGCTTCCTGCCACGCCGTGGGCCCAGGCGATGATGGGGCCACTGTTGGCGAGGATGCCTGGGTCGGTCCTGTCGCTAAGCAGCGTGAGTGCCGTGGACCTTCCCTTGTTGTTGCCCTCCATCGCCGCCGCCACGTTCCTCCTGAGCTCGGTGAGCTTGGAGTCTGCCATGCCGACGACTGAGGATCCGCATGGGAGGGCTGGCACTTTGGCTTGTCGAATCAGCTTGCGTGCCGCTCCTCCTGCTCTGCGCACGGCTGTCACCCGTGCCTTTCTCGCTGCAAACTTGAGCGCCCGCGTGTTGATGGCGGCCACTCTCCTCCGTCTGCATGCTGTTGCTGTCACTCCCAGGTGCTTCTCGTGCTTGACTACTTGCACGCCGAGGTGCCTGGTACTCTTGTGGATGTGCTGGCCCAGCGCGGCGGAGGAGGCCCGGGTGACCGTCTTCCCCTCCGCGCCGCGCGAGACGGCCATGTCCAGCGTGGTCTCGAACATGGTGACCACGGCCTCGATGAGCCGCGGGTGGACCTCGTCGACGTACTCGTGCCTGCCGTACGTGGCCATGGCGGGGTCGTCGAAGAAGAGGCACGTGTCCGCCCAGGGGAACTGGTGCACCAGCCTGTCCAGCTCGAGGATGATCACCATCTTGAGACAGAACGGTGCGTACCTGCTGCCCGCCGCGATGCCCCGCTGCCATGCCTTGCCGTCGGTGTAGCACCCGCCCAGGACGATGCGCCGCACCATGCTGTAGATCTTGAGGACGGTCCGCATGATGATTGGCTTGAAGCCTTATCTCTGCGACGCCTCCCACACCTTCCGATGGGTGACCTACTCGAAGCACTTGATCAAGTCGAAGTAGGTCACCGCATAATCGTGTCCCTCGGCCCGCGCGGCCTCGCAGTAGAGTGCCTGTAGCCATGCCGCGCGCCCCGACGATCTCCCTCGGCGTGCCCAGTCATAGGCTCGCTTGTTTGCTGCCTCCCAGCGCCTGGCGTAGGGGATGCGGATGGCCTCCCACACGCGCGCCAGCTCAGGGATAAGGCCCAGGTTGCGAAAGCCACCTGCCGCCTTCGGAGTGAGGTAGAAGAGGGTGGTGGCCTGCGACGTGGGCCACGGCGCTCCTCGCTCCACCGCATTGAGCACGCTTGCCACGCGTGCCGTACCTGAGAACCCGCCATGTCTCCAGAGACGCGGGTGCCAGCCTGCTTCTCCCAGGCCTGTCCCAGCTCGGAACCGCCCGCAAGCCTCGATGATGTCCCTCGGGGTGATCCGCGGGACTCTGTGCTCGCTCCACTCGTCGTCGCTGGGTGCCTGGCACCACGGCTCGTCGGCGTTGTAGCTGTCCGCCCAGACCGTCTCCCAGCCCTCCAGCGCCGTGTCCGCTGCCACCTGCGGGTGCGTGGGCTCCTTCTGGGCGCGGGACTCTGTCGGCTGGATCGGGGCCCACGGCACAGGCGGCTTAGTCCACGTGTGCAGCGCTCCCGCTCCCGCCTGGCCGTGCTTGGTCACCCAGCGTCGCCAGTTTCGAGCCACTTCCTGTCGTACTCGCCGCCATGTGTGCTGGCTAGCAACTGTCATGAGCTTGGCCACGCAGTCCACGTAGTGCAAGCCCCTCTCGGTGATGTGCTCGGCGTCGATCCAGGCGGCTGTGTTCACCAACTTGCCCCAACCGATGTCCGTGTATCGCCCCCGCCCCGTCGGTCGGCGGCGCTCTCCTGCCGCTTCCGCCCCGACCAACGGGCAGTCCTGCGAGGCCGTGGGGCCGAGGACAGCGGGGGTCCGCCGAGGAGTACTCTCTGGGAGGCTCGTCATGTCCTCCTCGACTCGGCGCAGCGTGTAGTTTAACTCGTCCAGGTTGTCTGAGTTGTCCTGCTCGTCCGTGGCGTCGTCGTTGTCCCGCTCCTGGTCGGGCTCGGCGCGCCATGCTGGGTGGTTTCGCTCGAGGAGCGGCCCGATGATGTCCTTCCCTAGGATGCCCTTGGCGTTGTTCTGAGCCCAGACCAACGTCTCTTGCTTCCCGTTCTTCCACCACGCCCGCACTGCTGTGCTGACGTGTTCCAAGCATTGGCCCAGCCCCAGCCACTCAGCTGCCTCCGCCCACTGCTGCTCTCGCGCGGCCTCGTGCACCGTGGGTGGCTTGAGCTGCCCCCACGCGTAGGTGGGCAGCTGCAGGTGGCCCTTGCGCTCGTGCCAGTCCAGGCCGGCGTAGTTGAAGTACTTGTTCAGGTGCTCCTCGTACGTGTTGGCCAGGTTGCCCCAGTAGCGGTCCACATCGTCCTGAGTATGCCTGCGGTGCTCCAGGAGCCGTGGCCACGAAGTCGGCCCCGCCACGCAGCCTGTGGGTAGCTGCAGTGGCCATCGCCGTTGGCGCCGTAGTACCCGCACCCAGCGTGCCTCTTCCCGTAGGCGAGGCACTCGCAGGAGCACAGGTGAGCGCGGCGCCGTGTTGTACTGATCCTGCACGGCCACGTGGAGCGGGCCGTCCAGGAGCGTCTTGGACATGATGAAGTAGTCGCGGTACCGTGCCTCGCCCGAGGCGACGCACGAGCCGCGCGAGGTGTCGAACACGATGGCCCCGTCCATCCTGTTGACCACCCCTGTGTGCTGGAGCTCAGCTGGGTCCATGTTGAAGTCGCCGCCCAAGATCCAATACTTCCCCGCCGCTGCCGCGGCCGTAGTGAAGTTCCGTAGGATGGCCCTGTTGCGGTCCGTCATGCCCTCGCTGACCCAGAGGTAGGCCGTGCCTATGGTGAGGCCCTCCTTGCCGAGGTCCTTGCCGCGGGCTCGGACCCAGCCAATCGCGAGGCGGCCCTTGGACTCGCGGGGCGAGATGTCCCACGTGTCGAGCCCCCTGGCGTAGCTCATGTTGTTTGGCCGCACAGTCGCCAGGAGCACCCCTGCGCCCCGGCCCCCCCGTGCGGTGCGGACGCTCGGCGCAATGCCCAGCCTCCAGCCATCCTTCTGCATGCGCTGCGTGAAGCAGGAGATGCTGTGCTCGTTTGCCTGCAGCTCCTGCGCCATGATGATGGGATCCTTGTGCGTGTACCTGATGGAGCGCATAGTCCGCTCCAGTGCGCCGATGGAGTTCGCATTGATGGTGAAGAGCCCCTGCCCCTGCTGTTCGTCAGGAAGACGGCGGGGCCGTCCACATGCTCTTGCTGATAGTGAGCGTGGTGTCAGGCTGCATGCCAGCAAGCAGAGGCAGAAGGTGAGGCTGGTGGCGCTCGATCTGCTCGGCTGTGCAGCCCGCATCCTGCATGATCTTTGTGATCTGCGTCGCGTCGGCGTTCTGCGGGAAGGAGACCAGCTCCTGCTTGATCTCCTCCTCGGCTCTGCGCTTGTTCCTCTGCTGCTTGTCGTCGGCGGCCTCCCGCGCTGCGGCGTCGGCCTCCTTCTTGGCCTTGGCGGCTGCTGCTGCTGCGGCCGCCGCTGCTCGCTCCTCCTCTGCGGTGTGCTGCTGCTGCGCGTGTCGGAGGGCTTCGGCGATATTGGTGTCCGTCTCCTGGTCGCGCAGGCACTTCTTGGCTTGCCCCAGGAACGATGCGGCCGCTCTCCAGCCCTTGCCTGACATGGGCACGCTGAGCTCTTCGATGCGGGCACTCTGCTTTTGCAATGTCTCATCTTGGCTGGCCAAGAGGGCGTTCTCTCTGTCGAGCTTCTCCTGGGCCTCCTGGATATTCTGCTCCAGCTTCTCAACCCGCTCCTGCGTGCGCTCACGCTGCGCCTGCGTTTTGTTCCTCTCTCGGACCAACTCGCACTCCGAGAAGCACCGTGGGATGTCGCTGCCGCTGTCGACAGCTGCCTGCAAGTCATCAACTTCCTTCTGCACGACGTCGATGTTCCCCTGGACGTGCTTGGCCAAGTCTGGGCCCTCCGCCTGCCGTCGAAGTTCGGCGAGGTGTGCCCGTGACTTCTTGAGCTTTGCTTTGGTGGTGCCCTCGGCCTCTGCGTCGTCCTGGGAGCTGGCCGCACCGTGGTTCGCCATCTTCGCGGAGCCGCGAACCTTCCAGCACTCCCAACAGAAATCGTAGTGATCCCCATTCCGAGCTTTGCATCCGCTTCAAGCCCAGCCTCCATCCCGCGACTTGGAGCTTGGGGCCATAAAAAGGCTCCAGAGCGCAGTGCCACTCTGAAGCTGGCGCTCTCCAACACCGTCCCGCCTCTCTGCAGGCGCAAAGGCGGCTCGGCGCAGAATGGCTGAGGAGGAGAAGGAGCGAGCGGAAGCCGAGGGGCGGTTGGATCCAGAGACAGGGAGGGAGGTACAGCCCTCACAACCCCCACCCAGCACCTACACGGTGGAGCCCGAATGCCAGGACCACCTTGCAAGCGCCAGGACGGGGCGCGGGGGGCGTGCCTACCACAACGCGGCCGCGGGCGGCCAGGGAGCATGGGGCCCGCGGCAGGCCCGTGCTCACCCGCACGAGGCCCTCCAGGGCGCCGAAGAGCACCATGAGGGCTCCCAGCGCCGTGAGCTGGTGCAACCACCACACCCAGTTCAGCGCCAGGCCGGCGAACGGCAAGCCCTCGTGAAAAACGCCGCCGACGTGGCCATCGACGGGGACGCTGAAACACAGCATCACGATCGAACCACGGCAAAGCGGGCAGACGCTCCCGCCACATAGAGCATACAAGAGCCAGCAACGCTGCAACCACAAGAAGCTCGGACAGGAGTCACCCACCTGGCGACGAGCGAACCTGCCGCCCCAAGGGCACAGGATTTCAAAGCAAAACAAGTTGTCAAAGCCGCCGAGGATCAAACACCACATCACGGCTCTGCCACTGTATGCAGCCACGGCTGCACACTCACTCCGACTCTTGGTCGTCATCATCATCTTCGGGAATGCGGCCTAGCTCCACGGCCTCAAAATACTCTAGCCAGTGTGCCAGGAGAATGCGTGCAGTGTCCAGAAGCCTCAGCTTCTTCATTGGGGTCTGAAGGGAGCGGCTGCTCAGCTCTAACTCCCACTTCTTGGTCACTCTAACCATGTTTCGTGCTGGCCCAGATGGCGATCTCGGCGGCTCTAGCCCAACATGAGCTCGAATCGCCTGTGGATGCCTGAGAGTATCGAAGTGCCGTCGGTTCTCCACCTCGCGGCCACCTCCATGCTTTCCTTTACACTTCTGAGCCAGCCCTCGATGATTCTTGGAATCAGAGCAGAAATACTGACAGCACGTTGAACAGAACAAAATACAGTGCGGCGAATCCACCACCGGATATTCCACTAGGCTGTGGCCTGACACCTTCCATGGCTCCAGAAAACCATCGAGCTCGTCTTCCAGGATCAATTCGCCGAGCGGCTCATTGCCCACCATGGCGGGCAGGGAAGGCTGCCCTGGGTCCTCCTGCGCCCCATCCTCCTTCAGCGGGAAATGGTAGTCCAGGCCCTCAGCGTTGCAGTCATACAGCCATGCTTGAAAACCCAAGGTAATGCAGTAGCAGTTTGTGTAACTTTCTGCAGCCACGAACGAAATCCACATGCTCATCATCTGGCAGATTGCATGCAGCCCCTTGCTTCGCCAACGCATCCGCTGTGGCGTTGCCCGTCAGCTCAAAGTCAGACAACACACCTTCAATCACGTCGGTCGGTGTTGCATGGCCCTTCACATGCTTGAACGCCTGCGGATGGAACTCCTCATTCTGAGCAATCATCTTCCACACATTGGCTATTGGATCGCCTGCGCCCACTGCCAGGTTAGGAGAACGACAGTGCGCCAGCGTGCCCTTGCAGTCTGAGAGCACCGTGTATGATCCAAGAACCTGCCTGCTGACCATCAACATCGCATAATCCTCTCCACACTTTGCCACTTGTAGGGGCACAAGTCTTTTGGCGCTGCGCCCGTAGTATCTGGCCAACCTCCTGCGCTCATTGTCGTATACAACAACTGACCATCCAGCGCTTCTCATATGCGGTATGTCAATATAGAACCCACTTCCATCAGTGAAAACAAAGCCTCCTTCAACAAGAACAACTCCTTTACGGCCCATGTCATGAAAGTGGTGTGCTGGGTTCCTGCTCGGATAAGCAAACGCTTGAGCAGGGTCAGGTAGAAGGCCACGGCAGAATAGGGTCTGCCAGGCCTCAGGGGCCTGCTTCATACGCTTGGCTGAACTAAGGAGCTCCTTCGGGAGCCTCTCCTGCCTGAAGTCGTGGTACGCGTCGCACTCAAAGAACCCATGATAGAACGTGCCTGGGCAGCCTTGGCACCTCAAGCATACAGAGGGCCCCCCGTTGAAGGACTTCGAGACCCTGTACTGGCACCAGTGGGCCCCCGAGCACAGGCCCCTGAGAGCCCTCTTTTCCCTTGGCGGCAACTTACTGCGCTTTGAATGTAACACCTCGTTCATGGGCATCCACGATAAAGGGCCTTGAGGGACTCGTAAGTCACCATCAGCGAGCCCGTGGAGAGCTCCCCTATCGATGTGCCTCCGAACCCCGTGCTTGACCATCGAGCTCAGGAGGGCGGGCGGAGTGGTTCTGACGTCCCAGAGCTGCTCGCCATCATCTCTGATGGTGTGGACGTCCCCCCAAGACCACCCAATCCTGTGGAGCGAGAGGAGAAGCGCAGCAATCGGGTTTTTTGCACTTGGCCCAGCGTTGTGGATCCAGTAGCAGCGGCCTCGCTTCTTTGAGCAACCTGTCCACGACCGCCCATGTGACGGCCTGTGAATTCATGACGACAGCAAAGGTGTGGACAGCGTCCACCGTCGCAATAACCAATGGGTCCTGCTGCCAGCCGCACTCTGCCGTCAGCAGTGAAAGACCAACATATGCACCTGGTTTGTACTTGCCAACGTTCAAGTACGACATGCGCAGGGACTGGGTCCTCGAACTTGCCACACCATGGATACTGGAGCCCCACAGAGATTTGGCCAGGACCCCTGCTCGATGCACAGCTGATTTTTGACGACCCAGTCCCTGGAGAGCTTTGATACGCACGCCTCGCTGCGTGGCCTCTGAGATCCTCGAAACCTGAGTGCTGATCCTCCTCATCCTTCCGTCAATGGCGTCTCCCCCTAGATCTCTATGGAAGGCGTCGCGTCCAGGGCAAGGAACATCTCCTGGCCAAAGATCACGCGCACTCGCTCTTACTTTACGGAAAACTTCTTCATCACTGCAGAACAGCCCGCACTTATCCCGCGCAATCGGGAGCCTGCGGTCCCCCATGCCTCTTAACAGCATCGTTGGACCAGTAATAGCCTGATCTGCGACCTGAGCGGACCCTCCTATCACATGTAAGCTGATATCATCGATCAAGTTCTTGATTCTGATGAGGTTACACTTGGCCCCTATGTTCCTGAGAGTAGTGATCGTCACCAACTTAGCCAACCCTGTTGCGCATGAGCAACCTGCAATAATGGACCCGTTCGCGTTAATGACCTCCGACACCGGTTGCTGGTAAACGGCCCTCCTCGGGCCTCTGTACAAGGCGCACAATGGCCTCAGCAGGGCCAGGGGGAAATCAGTATCCCTGGCAGCACACCACAGTTCCTGGTGGCTGACCATTTCATAAAACTTGCGGAGGTCCACAAACGCGCTGAAACTGACAAAGCCTAACTGAGGAGCCACAGCCGCCAGGGTGTTGTGTATCCAGGCGGACTTGTCACATGGGGTCTCACTAGAGGCTCCCCAGAAAAACCTATCGGGCAACTTGGATTCCCATTTGGAGACCTGCTTGTGTCGCAATCTGGACCAACTTCTAGCAAACAAGGGCAGCAGGCCCATGGGTCTTTCCCCCCCTTGTGGTTTGGGGAGAAAAACGATGAGAGTGAGCCATATGTCGGTGAGCTCTGGTTCAGCGTCCCACCGATGTAAAATCACTAGCAATGCCTCTATGAGAGGCTCAGGCAACTTTTCAATTCACCTCGGGCGAAAGGGATCCCAGCCGAGACCAGTGTTGGGCCTAAACGACCCAAGTGCTGCTCGCACCTCTGCTGGCTCAATCTCGGGAAGGGGAGTCGCGCCTGAAACATCCCAGGAGAGGGGGTGGGGCTCCAGGTCCCTTGACGGAAGCTTCCAGAGCGAGACCCAAGTCCCCAGCATGGCCTTCAAGGCCTCATGGCCCACGACGGGCACTGAGCCAGCAAGCACTAGTTGGGAATTGCCCTGAGGGCCCCGAGAAAACTTATGCGCAAGGATCCCTCCTCTCTGGAACGCGAGCTCTGAAAATTCCTTCCAAGACTGTCGCGCCACCGACGCATCCTTGCTCGTCTGCTGCTGCGCACGTCGCTGAAGCAAGTCGCACACCTCAACACGAGAGTCGGGATCCTCGAGACGAGCAAGGAAGGCGGCATGCGAGCTTGGTGACACAGCATCCTGAGTCGACAACGCCTCCACCTCCCCTGAACCCGCCCAAACGATACCAACCTCCTCCATACGTGCAACAGCGCTGCTGATCGCAGCATTCCTATCTGGGGCCGTGGAGTCTTGCGCGCGGAGCCATTGCATCGTCACTCTGCGAAGCGTTAGCCACTTCTGAGTTAACGCACTGGCCATTCTTCGGACACGTTTTCCCCAAGCGCAAGACAAGGGCACTTTTTCCCGACGGCACCCAGCAGCGCGCCCAGAGCAACGGGGCCTGTCAAACTCGGGCAGCCCCATGTACATGCACAGATACAGCTCAGCAGAAGAGAACCACCTGCGCGCAAGACTGTCCGCGGACTCCAGCAAAAATTTCGAAACCTGGCCCGCCCGAGGTGTCTCCTGGAACAAATGGCTCGCTCTTTTTTGTGAGCCTGAACGCCTCGGGCTGGATCCGCCTGTGAATGAAATTGTGGCGTCCTATCCCCGACATCCTGAGGACTACCGCTTTGTGGGGCCCCAGGGGAGTGCCCTGCCGAAGGCGTATGCTACGGACGAAGGGCACTAGCACATCACTCATTACGAAAAAGTCCATGCAGCTGTTATTACACGTGGGCTGTTCAACGCGCACAACCTCCGCGTGTAGCACGTTTAAGCAACCATGCCGAAGAAAACTGTCACCAGCAATGCAGAAAGGCAGGCC